ACATAGCTCAACCTATCCATAACTATCACTACTCATTTGTCTGCCCTCAACACCATTTAGTCCTCATCGTCCAGTTTCCTTATGATACTTTGCACTATCTTGTTCCTGGGTGTTATTTCTACATGGCTATTAATTAAAGGAACGACCTATGATACAATCTCTCTTTTATATGAGATATATTCACCCGATTTAGTTGATGACGGACTAATAGTTGAATTTTCCCAAAATGATATGATTATGCCTGACGCCTCCATTGGATTTCACACAACCTTGCAGGAGCAACAGCTAAAATTTTGAATAGAACGAATGAGTGTAGAAAATAAGTGGAAGTCACTTCTGGCAATTGTATAGAATTAAAGATGAGATGGGAAACAAAAAGTATCACCGAGCAAGAGGAGGCTTGAATAGGTTCGAATCTGGTTTTGATTCTCACATCACACTCATTTTAAGAGCAATGCATCTACACAGCACACGTCAATGAAACGCAATCACACGTGGCAAAATTACAGAGCCAAAGGAGGATAAAACTGTTCGGTCCCAATTGAATACGTTTTATGCATCATCTACAGCCACTTCACATGTCATTCGCAGCCACTTAACTTAACTTTTCAGCAAACATTAAGGCAAAACATAGAACAACATATCAAAATATGAGATGCCTAAGCAAATGGACCAAATTGTAATATAAGAAGCAAGGATAATTTAAGCAGGCCACCTTTTTTACCTGTTTTGGTGAATTATCGTGAAGCATGGTGTAATGTTCTGACGATGTCAGTCACATGACGTATGAAAGCTTAGCAAAGCTTGATCGGGATCTCAGGACAGTACGCAGAGGACCTATTTGCACAAATCTACAATCCCAGCTCCACGACAATCCCTCTACAGCTTCCGATGAGACCAAATTACGAATCCCTTCCACTCGCCTATTCAAACTAAATGAAAGGTACTTTAACATAAATTGAGGAGGTCTGGTGGAATCTAGCTCAAGTGAGACCAGAAGGACACTAAGAAAATCATAGATTTTGACGGAAGATTGTGGAGTCAATATGAGTGCATTTGCGTGAGTAAAGACTGAGACAAATTTTTCCGCTAACAAACTAGTAAAAAGCTAAATTCTAAGCACGATTTAACTAAACAATAGCAAAGTACAGAGCCACACATAAACAAAAAGTGAAGCTAAACTATTTGTCGTTAATATGTTCCAAAAACAAGGAAACTAGAATTTACGACAGACACCTGATAGAGGAAGTTGTCAATATATTGCTATTTTGACCCAAATGCCCTAGCACAAACCTGATTTGCATTAAGAGACAGCATAATTGGGCTAACGAACGAAAGGTAAACGAGAAAATTATGATCTTTCCAGCGAAATAAGGTCAGCAAATGATACAGATAATAAAACAATTTGTCAAATGTAGCAAATATTGGAGAATAATAACAAATGAATTAGAACGGCTTTAAGTAAAAATAAAAAGACTTATAAAATACCCATATGATAAAAATTAATGTAATGCCCATTATTTACATAATTGGCGAAGGATGAACAGACACAATGCCAAATAATTATAAAAAAATCCCATGCTCATAAGCGATAGTCAAAAGATGTCGCCCATCAGAAAAGACTTCACATCAGAAGCATAAAGAAATCCGGACTTCCTCATAATAGTGCTAGAGGGAAAAATAATATTAGATAAAACTGATGATACTGTAGTTGACAGATGAGGTCGATAAAATCGCATAGACCTGTTATTCCATACAAGTCCATATTCTAGTAATTTCATCATCATATGGGCCGGGCAAGTATGGTCATACTAGCCAAATATCTCTCGTATTTTGCAATAACTCTGACTTGCACATTCTAAATAAATGAGCTCTCCGTAGTAACTAGCCCAAGAGCCTCGCTCAGCCTGTCTCCTTCTGCAGGATGCATCACCTAACCAATATCTCTTCAGATATTAGAATTCTCTCGTATAGCCTTCTACCAAGGAAGCCTTAAAAGCTCTCTCCCTTTCTCTCTCGACTATATATATGAACCTTTCGAATGGTCAAGTAGAAGCAACAAAAACTATCATTTAGAAACCGGAACATAAAGACTGTTGATGTGAGACTTTGCTCTGTCGCTGAGATAAGCACATGGCCCACTTTTTTCTTTAATACAAAGTCTTCGCCTTAAAAGGATACACAATTAAAAACTCCTGCGTTCATAACACTTAAAGCCGCATTGTACAAACGGAAATCGGCTAGCAAGACATCGTAAAGAGAAGCACAAAAAGCAATTGGGACGGCGATGATATTATTGAATGACAATAATTGCGATTCCGCTCCAAGAAGATGGGGTTCAAATGATAAGAGGACAAGATACTCTCAATCTAAATATGACCAACCTACATGGTCTTTAATTTCTATCCACGAGCTTACAGGAACCGAAGAAGCGCGGACTGACCTGGATCAGTTCTCTTGCTTGAAGGAGATCCTGTGAAGGTCCAACCAGAGTTGGAGCAGGTGGCGTTTGTGTTACAGAGGCAAGTTTTGCGCTGGTCTCTGAAAGGCGAGTGCGAAGTTCCTGCACCTCAGCCTCCGCGGATGCCTTCATATGGGCTGTCTCTCCAACTGAAGAGTTAACACGACGTTGCAGAGATCGGCGTTCTGTATCGCAAGTCTGGACGAAAAAAAAACATAGAATGAGTAAATCAAGGAAGTGCGCGACAGCCGAAAAAAGCACCAAAAATGCGTGCCAAAAAATAACTTTGGAACATAAAGCCAAATTCATATAACCCATATAACCTATATCTGGCTAGTAACATTGAATTAAAAATTATTCTGGATTTACTGACACTGGTTCCTGAACTCAGCGGCATTAAAAACATACTGAGTTCAGGAAGCAGCGCCAGTAAATCCATGATAATTTCTGAGGACGTTGCAAGTCTAAATACCGGTGATATTTCATCATACCAGTGGACTCAACGACAAAATATGGCAGAGATAAACTTATTTTATTAGATGATTTCACCACATTCCACTTAAGGTGATTAAGGACTGGTAGTTGAAATTCCCCATGATATAAATGAGCCTTAAGTTTCCAACGAAGACCTACTGATATCCTTGTGATAAAATTCAACTATCAATTCTTCATAATCTTAAACGAAATAGGGTAGATGCATCTCATTTATATGATCTACCAGTATTCTAGAAAACCTACTTATAAACAAAAAACTAATTTTATCACACCTAAAAGATTTGCAAGTTTTCAAGAGAGCAAACGTTTACTTCTTCAAAATCTAAATTGATTTTTATCTTACCTTGAGGATAAAGGATATACAAAATATAATTGAGACATGATATAGCAATTGCCGAGTGAAGCCCGAAGCTATAAAGTTAAGCAACAGGAGAAGCAAAAAAGTGGTGAATATATGTAAGAGGACAAAGTGAGAGAGTGAAGCAATGATAATTGAAAGTGAAAGGCAATGAAAGATAAAGGTATATAGGAAAAGTGGGTACATACCTACGTACTACGTACGGATACCAATGTTTTCGAGAATCATCAATTTGGACTAAAGACAAAGAAAGCTCTGGACCAGCAAGTCAACCATTTTCGTTTTTGAAATTATGTTTTCCAAGTAGGGTCGTTCCTAAGCTTTGTTTTATTGATAGACCAAATTTGCCAAATAGATCTAAGCGAGTCCTTCAGAGGGCATCCCGGGATTTGGCTTATATTATGACCCAAGAAAACATGACAAAATTACACTCCTGGATAAGGAGGAAAACCAGT